AACAAAAGCGAAGAGAAAGAAGTAGGTCATGGTTGAAGTGTCCTTGTATGAAATAAACAAGCAATACTAATTCTTATCCAACATTTTATGAGTGTAATATTAGTCAAATTATACTGATGCTGATCCTTGGGCTTTGCAACAATATTCTTAGCACGTGAAATTTGTTTATATAGTTCATGTCCAGGTTGGTTCACCCAATTACTGAAGAAGGACAAGGGTCACCTTTCATGTTGGCCACTTAGCTCTTTACAGAGAAAAGATCTGTTCCTTCGCTGTAGCTTGTGTGCTGTCCAATTCAGGTCTCTCCCAAGCACAGGTCAGTGATCACAGGGATGGTTAACATAGTCTATTATGATTCTTGGAAGAATGACTCAAAGCAATTTTTCTCCTGATATGGGTAATAAGATAAGTAACAATAAAATAATAGTTATGCTTGCTAAGCCTTTACTGTCTACTCTGTGCTTAAGCTCTCTCTCTATATTGTCTCATTTAGTCCTCATCAAACTGCCCTTTTGAAGGTAAGGAAATAGGCTTTAAATAGTTAAGTAGCTTGCTCTATAAGTCATACAGATATTAAACAATAAAGCTGGAATTGGAACCCAAAATATTACTACTACTACTACTAATTTACATTTGTTTTGCATTTTATGGTTTACTAATGGTATTTGCATACTTCCTTTCACTTAATCTTCCCAGGCAGTCTTGTGAGATAGTTAGGTAACTGCCTCTATCCTAGTTTTACAAATGTGGGAATGAAGGCTTTGAGAGTTCACTCACCTAGTAGGTGTCAGGGACAGTATTCAAAGCTAAGCGTGCTTGTTCCAGGTTTCAGGCTCTTTCAGCTATTAGACAGCTAAGGTCAGGCGTATGTATATTTATTGTGAAGTTAAAGTCTGTACAGCACAAAATGAAATGTAGCTATCACAATTACCCAGATTATTCAGGCCCTACAGAGAACAGCTTCATTTTTGCTTAGTGAATTAAAAACATGAAGGAAGTGTTATCTGTGAAAATAAGCAAATACAATATTATAAATATTAGATCCAATACAGTACCCCAGGCATGATACTAGAAAGTGTATATTCTCTGCTATTTATTATGTTTCTTAACTAGGGGAACACAGCTTCTCTGAATTGAAGTATCTGAAGAGAATTGTTTTTCCAATAATTCTCAGAATTATTAGATAACAAATACGTTTGTCTTACTCTTTTTAATGTATTACCATTTAGCAACCATTTACATTTTAGATAAAAATAATATATTCGACCAGTAAGAAATGACTTCTTTTCTTTTTTAGAACTATAATTTAAATTTTTATATTTTGCTGATTTTGAAATATATTGAAATTGCACAAATACACTATTTTTACCTTTAAAATTCCTAAAGTTTGCCTTGAAATTGATTGCCTTGACAGATTAATAAAAGGTTTATATTTTAAAACAAAGCTGGTTTTAAATTGGTATGGATGGTAGGAGGATGAAACTCTGTTATAAATAGAGAAAAAGTAAATTTAGAGTTTCAATGTATTCACTGCAGCCCTGTTTCTGCTTAGACAGGTGCATATTTAAGCTAACTTTAAACTATGTATTTTTAATTTGATTTCTACACAAATTGTCAGTTGAGATCCCTCTAATCAGTGGTTCCAAATGAGAGCTTATGAGGTGGATTACTCTGTTCAAATGACAGTGTTTTAAAGCCCTTTTTATTCACAAATGCAAATTTCTAAGGAAGTGCACACATGCACACACATGCGTCCACACACACTGTGCACATACACACATGTGTGAAAAGGTAGAAAACTTTCAGCATATATCTTTTTAACTGAAGAAATACTATTTCCTAGCTCCCATATTTTGCGTTAATAAACAAGCATTATGTATTTATGTGTTTCTGAGTGTGTGCATGTCTGAATGTATGTTTATGTATGTATTATTAATCAATTTAAAAATAAAAGCAAAGCTTTCTCCTATATATAAAAAGAATAATTGTATATTTAAGTACAGTAGTCTTTATTTTTTTTAAAGATTGGCACCTGAGCTAACATCTGTTGCCAATCTTCTTTTTCTTTTTCTTCTTCTCCCCAAAGCCCCCAAGTACATAGTTGTATATTCTAGTTGTGAGTGCCTCTGGTTGTGCTAAGTGGGACATCGCCTCAGCATGACCTGATGAGTGGTGCTAGGTCTGCACCGTCGAAACCCTGGGCCACTGAAGCAGAGTGCGCAAGCTTAACCACTCGGCCACGGGCCAGCCCCATTAAGTACAGTAGTCTTTAACTTTATAGAATATATTCTTTCAAATCAAGCAACCAGAGAATTTTTACTGAGCATCTGCTCTGCATTTAGCTTTATATCAAGAGGAGGCTACAGACGTGTAAGTCTGGCCATTGTTTTCAGGTATCATGAAAAGAGGTAACACGCCGGTGAGGATGTGCTACCGCGGGAACTCTCACAGAGGCCGACGGGAGCGGAACTTGGTCCAATTGCTCTGGAAGCTGACTGATGCTACTCGGTCCAGTAGAAGATGCTCATGCCCTGAGATCCGGAAATCCCATTTCTAGGTATCTTTTATAGAAAAACTCTTGGATGTGTGCACAAAGAGATGAGGAAAAAACATGAATTGCAGTAGTTTTTGTAATAGTGATAAACTGCAAAGATTTCCAAGGTGCATCCACAGTAAAATGGATCGAGTGTGGTATTTTCATACAATGGAACATTATATAGCAACAAAAACTTCTATGGCTACAGGCAAACATGGATGAAGTTCAAACATAATGTTGAGCAGGGGAGGGCAGCACAAGCTGACAGCATCTGGTATTTTCAGGTGGGCTCCCATTCAGGTGCTCTCCCAAAAAAGCGGGTGGTGGGGGGAACCCCATAATGTTGAGAAAAAAAAGTCACAGAAAAATATATCCATTGTAATTCCACTTACATAAAGGTCAAACATTAAACATTATATTATCCTGAAATACATATAAAGTAATCTATTTTAAAAAGAAAGGGAATGATTGACCTGAGGAAGGCATCCAGAGGTTTCAAAGGCAAGCTTATATTCTATTTATTAGCTTGGGTAGTGGATATACAATCATTTGTTTTATCAATGACCTTTAAATTGTACACATACTAAATATACCCTCTTGTATGTATATTTTACAATATAATAAAAGACATCTATCAGAAAAGAGACTGGACGATTTTACAACTCCACGATAACATTAGTTGTGTTAGATTGGTTACAGACTATTTCTTTTTCCACATTTTCTGTAAGGTGCTTTTATTATTTTCATAATTAAAATATATTAAAGTAATCCATTTATAGGGAAACAGCAATATTCTTAGTCTAAATAAGTCACAAAATATAACTTGAAGTAGTTTGAGTTAGGATAATGAATTTCACAAATATTTGAGAAACGTGGGTGTTAAAAGAACACCCTGAAGGTGGAAGTTCTATGAACATGTACTCTTGAGTAGCTCAGATGCTGCTAATCTGTTCTTAGGGCAGAAGCTGCTCACTGTTAAAAATGAATGTAACATTCCGAGTTGAAAGAAGACACAGTTCCATAGCAGAAGCAACTCTTTTAGAAGCAGCTAAGAATCACGTCTTCTGTACAGAGTTACCTAATCTCTCCTCCCGAGATAACTATTCTCTCCCCATCTTGCTACTATACTTTATACACATTCCTGTGGTTGCACAGATCACAGAGTAACATTGTTATTTGTCCACCGGGCTCTCCCGGACTAGGCTCCAAGCTCCCTGCAGGAGGGTTAACCACAGTCACTTTGTATCTCTCCTTTCCACCACTGTGCCTTGAATACAGTAGCTGTCCAGATAATGTTTGTTAAGCTGAACACAAAAAGCAGCAAAGATTTTAAAATGCAGTGTGGGCTACATTTAAAAAACACTTGACTATGGAAACCTGAATATTCTAGGAAGCTAATCTTCATGTAGAATGAGTCAATAAGTTTCTATAATGTTTAAATAAAAGATCTAGAGATAATATTACTATGTCCATCATAAAAACTTACAAACATCACACAACACAATAAGCACAATAAGTTGGTAAACTCTGGGTACCTGTCAAGAGAAGTATATTCCACATATTGTATTTGTGCCACCCCGCCCCATCTCCACCCTCCTTCTGTCCAGCACAGGCTGTAAAGCTCAACCTGCTATTTTTAGCAGTGAGTGATCAGCCGGCCTTGACTTGCACTTAGAATGATAGTGTGCAGGTTTTGAGAACATGAGAGAAGAACCAGCCATGGTAGGGCAATCAGAGAACGTACTTGCTGATTACAATCTTCTGTTATAAAGATTTATAAAAAGCTTCTGTGTCTTAAGATGGAAAACAGCTCAAATGTCTGCAAAATAGTCCCTAACAAGACCAATAAGACCAATAGGACCTGGCATCTAAACATTTGCAAACTGGTGATATGACATACCCACATGATGTTTCAAAAGTGATATCTCCTTGTGATATCTAAAGGGAGAAAAGAAAGAGCCTCTTTTTTTTTTTTTTTGTGAAGAAGACTTGCCCTGAGCTAACATCCATTGCCAAGCTTCCTCTTTTTTACTTGAGGAAGATTAGCCCTGAGCTAACATCTGTGCCAATCCTCCTTTACTTTGTATGCAGGATCCCTCCACAGCATGATTGACGAGTGGAGTATGTCTGCACCCAGGATCCGAAACCCCAAACCCAGGCCACCAAAATGGAGCATGGAACTTTTAACTACTCGGCAACAGGGCCACCGGAAAGAGCCTCTTCTTAATTCTTCTACTGGCTTTCTTGGGATTTGAGCGGTAGGACTGTGCTCAAACAATTGGCCTGCTTTGTTAGAAACATGTAAATCCAAAACTCCAGGGTGAAGGCAGTTAATCTCAGTATGCCTGGTCTCTCTCTGGATGATTTCTTTCCAGATTACTTTGGTAGAGAAATCAGATTTCTCAGAAAGTATATTCACTTGATATTGAAGAAAAAACAAAAGGAAAACACACCTACAAAAGTATGCAGCTGAATAATTTATTGATTACATTTCCTAATAAAACATCCAAATCCAAATTGCCTTGGTTTAGGCTAACCTAAACTACTGATGCAACCATTTTGCATGAATTTAATAGAAAGTATAGCCAAATGATCGAGCTTATGTTCAGTTTGAAGCTTTATTCTCCTTCTTCCTGAATACTAGAGCCACTATGTGAAATAGTAATTAAGAGAATGGGTCCTAGAGTCAGATTGTCTGCTATTGAATAGTGATTCCACCACTGTCTGGCTGTGGGATGAAGTTACTTAAAATCTCTGGGCCTCTATTTCTGCATTGCTGTCTCTTATGGGCATTAAAATTACGTCAGTACATATAAATCTCTTAGTACAGTGCTTGACAGTTAATTATTGATGACTAAGTGTGGATTTATTGTGAAGCTAATGAAATTGAGCTTCAGGGCCCCTCCTTTGCACAGGCTCTTTCTGAGGTCTCAGGATAGGCCCTAGCAGAGTGTTCACATACATGTTTTTCTGAGTTTTGCAAAAGTAAGACATTTTAGTCATGTTAAGGCTGCTGTCTCTCTCCATGTCAACTTCTACTGCACCATTTCTCTCGTGTTTGGAGGTGCTGAGGGCCCACCAGTAGTCTGGGGAGCTGGCTAAGGAGGAGTTTGAGACAGACTATTTTAACTGAAATTAGAAACACATTTTGGGATGCTTCAATAAAACAATTGAGAAATTACAAACTCTTAATTTGGATGTAAAAGAAAGGTGCCCTTTTTTCTTATCTATAAGTGGTTTTATTAAAGAACTAAGAAAATTCTGATAAAAAGTTAATGAGAAGTGAAGTAAAAGTGATAAAATCACGTGATGAAATCCATGGAACAGAATTTTTTTCCAGATCATTCCAAAAGCAGTATTTCCCTAAAAAGGAAGAGAGAAATTTTTAGTAGCAGTAATAGACAGGCTCTTGGATTGTTTGATACTTTCATTAATGAAGAGGAAGGAATTGTAATATCATTTTGAAAAAAATTGAAACTTCTTGTTGATTTGATACAAAATGTTGACATTGACCAGGATAACATAAAACTCAAAATATGCTTCTGCAATAAGGAAACAGACCACAAGCTAATTAATGATTTTCCTAGTTCTTCCTGATGCCCTGACTTTTTACAGCTCATACATGAAAAAAATTTGATAAAGTTTTTCTCAAATCAGATACCAATTCTAAAATATGATACATTAATAATGAGTTGAAAAACTGAAAAAAATATTTTTAAATAGCAACAATTTTAAAAGGTTGATCAGCCATGCTAGAGGAAAGACAAAATTAAAAAAAAAATTACCTTGCAATATTGTTACCTTATGAAGAGGTGATTAGGGAGTTTGCAGCCAAAAATATTTGCAAAAAGTTTTATAGACTATGTTAGGCAGTTTATTGATAAAAGTTATCATGGCATTTCCAAGATTTTTTATATTTGTGAGTGTGAAAGATTTTATTTACCATAGATGATCCCCACAATATCTCCCAACACACGTGCTCTTCTTACAAGGTGATTAACACTCCTCTCATCCACAAGTGGCGTCTATGTTCCCTCCCCTTGAAACTTGAACATGAACAGACATATGACTGTGGCTGAAGGAATACTGAATAAGGCAGAATAACAGCCACCCAAAGACGTCCCTGTCCTAAGCCGCAGAGGCTGTGACTATATCATGTCACATGGCAAGGGGCAAGTAAGGTTGCAGATAGGATTAAGTTTGCTAATCAACTGACCATGCAATAGAGAGATAATCCTGGATTATCCAGGTGAGCCCAATGTAATCACAAGGATCTTTATAAGTGGAAAATGAAGGTGGAAGTGTCAGAGTTGAGAAAGATTTGAAGACACTATAATGCTGGCTTAGAAAAGGAAGGAAGGAGCCATGAGCCAAGGAATGCAATGGTCTCTAGAAGCTGGAAAAGGCAAGGAAATGTATCTTCCATAGAGCTTTCAGGAGGAAGGCAGTCCTGCCAACACTTTGATGGTAGCCCAGTGAGACCCATGTCAAACTTGTGATCTCCAGAACTATAAGACAGTAAATCTGTGTTGTTTTAAGCCACTAAATTTGTGATAATTTGTTGTAGTAGCATATGAAACGAGGATAGAAGCTACATGACTGCCAAGGCTAGGTCATAAAAGGAGACACAGTGTTCAATCGGTTTTCTTCAAGCCTTGTCACCGTGCCATGAGGAAGTGGAAAGACCACATGGAGAAGCCACATATGCAGGTGTTCTGCGCAGCAGCCTCATCTGAGGTTCCAGCCCACAGGAAGCACCAAGTCCAGACATGTGAGTGAGGGAGCCACAGGATGACTCCAGCCTGCGACACCACCTGAATGCAACTTCATGAGAGCTCCTGAGCAAGGATGCCTAGCTGAGCTCAGCCAACCCCAGAACCGTGTGTGTGATGATAAAATGATTACTGTTGTTATAAGCCACTACGTTTTGGGATGATTCACTATGCAATAGATAACTGGAACAGTGAATATATGTCAACTTTTAAAAATTTACAGTTTTTCTTGATTTGTCTCATTTATAATAAATATTCACTTTCATATCTAATTTTGTATTTGTAAATTCTACTCTTTCTCCTAGAGAGAGCCCCTCCAGTGCCCCCTAAAAAAAATCTGGTTCTGTTCCTGCATGTAGCCACAATATCTTGTTCAGAATGTGGTTGAAAAACATAATAATATATGTAATTAAACAGATCTGAGGATCTTTGAAATAAAGCAATCTTTCTTTTCACAAGTTAAAAAAACCTCTCCTTTTGAAGACACTTTAAAATGTTACGAGAAGCAAAATGTAAACTTATATTACTTATTCATACCATCTTAAATGTCAATTGCCTTTTTATTTGGGATCAAAATAAGAGATATTTGCTTTCACAGAAAATAAAAACTTCCTTTAGCAATAAGATGATGTATTCAACAGATGTCTCCTAAGTGATTCTTTGCTGACAGTGTCAACCATGATGTCAAGAAAAAACAGGAAATATCTGACTTAGATTACGGTTCTTGGAAAAAATTGTAAAAGAAAAATGTATTACATAAATGATAATGTACATTGTCCCAGAAGGCAGTCTGGACCATTTAAAATATACTTTCTTTGGGACAGATTCATCTTTTTGAGATAATTAGCTCTGCTTTCAGGAATTGCCGTATTCTCAGTTGCTCTCTCCTTTGCCTGTCTTTTCAGGCCATGTGAAAGCTACTCCACTTCTATCAGTTGACTTTTAGCATAACAGAAAGAGCTCTGGATACTAAAGTAATGAGCCGGGCCAAAGAGGCAAATGAGCATTGGATTCTTGGGTTTCAGAGAAAGTTTGCAGAAGGCTACCTTGCTTGCAGGCTAGTAGGACTGGAAGAGGTTAACGTGGCTGGCTGGGAAAACCGCTGTGGTCAGTCAGATGGTCTCAACAGTGTAGATAATTCCCACAATTTCAAAGATGAGCATATCAATATGTGGGAATTAACTGTGTTATGAATATGACCCTTGCATAGATAAACCCTCCCTCAGAAAGATACTTTCTTCTGTCATTAACAACAACAGCAACAAAATATCTATAAGGCAAATACATTGTAAAATGTTGGACTTGCTAATTTCAGATTTGAAGTCTTGTCCTTGGGAAGCAGAAAAGAGAATATAGGAGATATTCACTGATTTATTCTGCTGATTGCTTGAAGAAAGAGATTTAATTGTCTGCACATAAATTGTCTCATTCTTTTAAGTTCAGATTAAAAAATGAGTTCTTGGTTGAAAAATCTGAATTGATTGAAGATGGCACCCCAGGTTAGGTTATGCCTTTCCTGTTCCTCTCCTTCCAACAAGTACTCTTGCCTCCTTTGCAGGTTCTGCTAGCAAGGGTAATTTAAGCAGGAAGTTTGGGGCTGCAAACCACCCTTAATGACAGAAAACAGCCGGAGCCTGAAATAGTGAGCAGAGCAGAAGGGGAAGTGTGGCCTCAGGGCAGTCTTACAGGTCCTGATCCTGAGGTGCTTTCTTCTCAGGCCTGCTTTCCACCAGATTACTTTGCTGAGGCAAGGGATCATCCTTCTCTTCCCTTCTTGAAGTTATAGCCACGTGAAAGCCCTAAGAGCCTAGGTGTATACGGTAAAAGTGCTTTTACAAATGTTTGTATTTAATCTTACGTAGGAAGAAGAAACCACTGCTCCCTGGGGTCCCTCCTCGCCCCCCAATTTGTTTGTTTGCTTTCTCACATTAGAAAGCTGAGGCTTTCAATTCAAGTTATTCAAGGTGTTGAAGATCCTCTCTCTATTGAGTTGCAAAGCTGGGACTCCAAGTCAGGCATCCCGACCTTGGCTGGAGCTTTCGCCCTACATCTCTGAGACATCTACACCTCACGTGTACCGTGGCAGATTCTGGGACTGTTTTATTTATCTATTTTTGTATCCCTGAGTACTAGGATCGTGCCTGGCATCTAGTGTGTTATCATTAAATATCTGTCAAATAAAAAGGATTCATTGTCTAAAACTATCATTTGGGAGGAGAAAGATGATATCTGGAAAGTTGTGAGGGAATTTTGGTGCCTGACCAAGTTCAGGGAAGTGCAGGATACAGCATTTAAGGATGGACGGCAGCAGCTGGCAGCAGCCGCTGGGGAACGTTCTATTTTCTTTTCAAGCTTAAGTGAGAGTAGGTTTGAAGGACACTCCTCAGGAGTCAAGGATTTGCGGAATGAACGCATGGTTTCCTTGTAGGTGGGCCGCTGCTTATTTCCTCTCTGTGCCCACCTTCCACTTTCAGTCTCAGACGTCACTGAGGAAAAAGGTTCCCCATCAGGCCTTCATGGTGTCACCCAACTCCACGGCACCCCTGTCACTGTGCTGTAGAAGACCAAGCATATATAATGAAGTAAATCCCCTCGAAGTCTTGGGGACTGCCAGACTTCTGATTCCTCATTCTGTGTGTGTGCATGATGCCGGAAAAGCGCCCTCAAGAAAGCTTAGGGAAGACTGAAAAGTAGAGGCTGATTAGCCAAGGGGAGAATGTCTGTCTAATAAATAAGACCTACAGCTGCAGCAAAGTAAGCCAAAGTGATAAGGACAGACAAAGAGAGCCTGGGGAAATGCTGTTGTTAAAAAAATAAAACATAAAAATAAAGGATACATTAACAACCAACCAAAAAAACCCCAGCAGACTAAAAAGAAAACTTGCATCATTTTCTCCCCCAGAATATCATCATTATTAAAAGAGGGTGTTTTGAACAAAAAGAGTGATGTAACTATGTTGATGTGGGGTCGGTGAGCTGAGGAGTCGAAAGAAAGATTTCTTGGACTCTCAAGATCTGGCGGTAGTGCTCTTTTATTTAGAGAATAGTGTGGAATAGCATGGGGACAGGACCCATGGGCAGTCAGAGCTGCTGCGTGGGATAGGACCCACGGGCAGGAGGAGCTGCTGCTGCTGCTGTTTCTGCTGCAAACATGGGTGGAGAGTAAGGCTAAATTTAAGGCATAGGTATGTGAGTTATCTCTTTACAAGACAAAGGAAAGAATATGTAAAAAAAGTTAAAATGGTATCAGTGCCGGTAGGGGTCCCACAACTTTTAGATAAGAATCAAGGCCATTGGGCAGTCCCACAACTTTTAGATAAGAATCAAACTGGATTGAGTAAATGGCAGAAGCCACCACTTAAATATTATCCTCAGCCAAAGACAAAGGAGGATTTGGGGGGTGGGGGGGTGGGGGGGGTGGGCAGTTACATGAGGTTGCCAGACAGTAAACAACTTCAGTTCTTGCCTCTGGCAGTAATTAAGAGTTTCTAGAGATAAGGCCATCCCCCTTCTTCCTGGCACAGAGAGGGAAGCATCTTTACAGATGGAGGTCTCCCTTACAAATGTAAATGTTTCCCAACAGAGAGCAAGCAAACTCCAGTCCTCGGAGCCTGCTTCTCATCTGCAGTTGTAAAATTAACCAGCCTAAAATCCTCATCATAAACCCCGCCTGAACCCATTTGGCCCTGAAATCTTTTGGGGATATGGACGATGATCAGTCTCCTGTAACTACTTCCAGCTGTACAAGGTCGTAGAGCTGTCCCTAAATGGGGCCATAGGTACAGGTAGGAGGTTCAGCAGACTGGAAGGCTGTGCCCGTGGAGTCCAAGGCTGAAAAGGTATACAGTTCCTCTGGAGATGAGACAATAATTTGATGAGAGGTGGTCCAGGAGGTGAAACTTTGTTGACATGCAGAAGACCAACAATGAAATAAACAAATTATAATAAGAAATACAAGCAATATGATTAACCCAATGAATAGGGTTTTGATAGTAGTCCAGAAACCTGGTCCTGACCAAGAGTTCAACCAATCATTTAGAGATAGGGTAGGGTCAGACATGGACTTAATTTGGTGGTTCATATCAGATAGGAAGCCAGAGATATTTTGATGGTAGTCAGGAATATAAACACAACATTCAGTTTTTATAATGGCACAAGTTTTTACAATGGCTTGGTTTTGGAGTGCTGCCTTATGCATTTGGGATACTTCTAAATCAAGCAGCGAAAGGCTATGTTGTGTATCATTTAACGCTTTCATAGTAAATTTGTTTAGAGCTTCCATGTGCCAGATGACACTTTTGATTCTTAATTGGGGAAGGAAAACTGAGGCAAGGTGGTCATACCAGTGGAAGACAGAGCGGGTCCAGCGCTGTTGCAGGTTGCGTAGGTTAGCAGGAGGAGATATAGTAAATGTAGTTCTACCTTGCATCCAGACGAAACCTAGGGTGCATCGTCCAATCCATCCAGGTGGCAGCCAAGGCCATAAGTTGGACCCACATAACCACTGAGTGCCATTAGTGGCTAACCAACGTACGCTGGGCCGTCTATCCCAGTCAGTCCCAAACCAATCAGTATTTCTTAAGGCTATGATATAAGAACACATATAATGGGGAATTTTTCCCATAGGTTGGGTGCTATTAGGCCACATATCACAGGTATGATTGGTTTGTTCTCAACATAGAGTGGCCTTTTGACTGAGTTGACCACTAGTAGGAGTGAGCCAAATATATTCGTCCCAAATTTGATATAGTCCATCCTGTGTGTATCAGTAAGTTGGGGACTTTACCTTTGGAACTTGTTGTTTATGATCCACTTGTGACAAGGCAAATCTAGTTAGTATTTGGGCAGTAATGTTGAAGGAAAAGGCTTGATTGTGTCCAGGGAACTCCCCGGTATCAGAGATGGATGGCCACAAGGAGACATTATGATTAGTAATAGATGAATCTTGTAGAGGAAAAGAGCTAGAATCTAATACCCATGAATGTGTACATACTATAGCTTCTACTGAAACATAATTTTTCTCTCTAAAATCACCCTCATTTTTACAAGATAGCCAAATTAAGATTAACCGGATTGCAAAATAAGTGTAGTTTTAATAAAACTTGGTTCAATTATTTACATAAGTGCAGCAAGAATAGCAATTGATTATACAGGCTTTTTTAAAAATCTGCTTGGCTGGAATTTTCTTATGAGGAATCTCAGATTGAACTGTAAAGGCCTCTCGAGGCCAGAAAAGCCAAGCCATGGACTTGCCGTCAGATTTTGCCTGCAGTACCTACAGATTTGGGTGGATTTCTCTCTTCTTGAGGTCCCCCAAAATATTCTGAGGTTCCTTGCACCTGCCAGATAAGCAAGCTTCCTTACTTACCGGGTAAGATTGCCAGAATCTCTGTAAACAAGGTACCAGACCCATATTTCCAAGTGGCTTTATTTCCAGAAAGTCCAATCTTTGTTCCTGAACAGCTATCTTGTTATGTCTGAGCCTGTACGTCTCTCTCAAATATGACATTCCAGTCAAAGCCTTGGTAATATAACCAATGTGTCCTGTTATAAGGAGAACAGATTCTTATTGAACTTATGCACATATTGCCACGAAATAACCATACTCACTCACAAAGAGTTTCTAAATTCTGGAGGGATCAGATAGGGAAAAAAAGATAAATGTTTTAGTTCTGCTCATAAACTTATGATTTCACTAAATTGCTATAAGGCATAGTTAGCATAAGAGAAAAGAGAAAAAGATTTCCTTAAATATGAGAAAACAAAACAACACCTCAAAAATTAACAATATTTCAAACAGGAGTCATAAAAAATTATAATCATCCTCATCAGTTCACACAGTCCTGTATAATTGATTCTTGAGCTTAATCTTCTGTTAGCAGATTTATGAGCTCAGTTTGTTAGAATTCTGTAATTTCTTACCCTGTTCAGTTTTACAATCTGAAAGTTTATCAGAAACCTGTAGTTTAGAATCTTGTGGCAGAATCCTTTCTAGGAATTTCTCTGAAGACGAAACATATTTGCAAAAGCAAAAGGCATCAGAGTAAAACAGCAACTATCTGCAAATAGACAAAAGACTCAAAGGGCAATTGACAAAGAAACTTGGCTACTTCTGTGACATATAACACTTAAAGATAATAACTGGAATTATGACTGATAACCAGGACAGATCAGAATTTTAGGAATGCTATATAATTCTAAGACATCTAAATTTTTTTTTTGGGGGGGAGGAAGATTAGCCCTCAGCTAACTACTGCCAGTCCTCCTCTTTTTGCTGAGGAAGCCTGGCTCTGAGCTAACATCCGTGCCCATCTTCCTCTAGTTTATAGGTGGGACGCCTACCACAGCATGGCTGCCAAGCAGTGCCATGTCCGCACCCAGGATCCGAACCAGCGAACCCCGGGCCGCCGAGAAGCGGAACATGCAAACTTAACCGCTGCGCCACCGGGCCGGCCCCATCTAAGACATCTATATTAATAATATTTACCCACATAATACCACCTAAGAAAGTTTATCATTGCTTATTTGACAATGCTTCCCATGTAGTTTAATAGACCAAATAAGCCTAATTAGTTTAGTATTGTCAAAAAAACCCCTTCTATTCAGGACTTGAATATTTTTGACAAAAAGCTTGTCAAAAATACCAAAAGATTTTAAAACACTTGTTCAAACAACGCTCACTGTCAGACAATGCTTAGGTATCCATTCAAAGTGAGAACAGAAACAATGTTAAGAGTGACCTCAGTCATTATTTCAACAAAACAGATTTGTCTTTTAGGTAGACTTACTCAAAGGAACACCTTTTATAACCTCTTTATCAAGAGCAGGCCAAAAGTTCAAGAAAATTATCCTTTGAGAGAACACCAAATTTTAATTTCTGCACCAGCTTATTTTTAACATTAAAACTCATTCACTTAATTGGATTTACTTTAGTCTACTTGACCAGACATAAAACTCCTTTCAGAATTTCTCCTTCACAAACCTTCTACAACTTTCTTTTTGCCTTCAGAATTTGTCCCAAAGTCTTTCTTTTTTTCCTTTCTAGTACATTAGGACAAATTTATCTTTCTTTTCCTCTTTCTCCCCAAAGCCCCCCAGTACATAGTTGTATATTCTTCGTTGTGGATCCTTCTAGTTGTGGCATGTGGGACGCTGCCTCAGCGTGGTCTGATGAGCAGTGCCATGTCCGCGCCCAGGATTCGAACCAACGAAACACTGGGCCGCCTGCAGCGGAGCGCACGAACTTAACCACTCGGCCACGGGGCCAGCCCCACAAATTTATCTTTCTTAACCCATCAAACAAAAATACTTCCATTCTTTATACCCTCTTTACTGAAAACATACATTTTACTTTCCTTGAATACAGAGCTGTTTTCCTTATTAATTTCCAGTAGCTTTAATTATATAGGTTAATAAGAACTTTTAATCCTCAACAGACCAGAGTAAACACTAAAAGGTAAGCAACTACGAATTGTCTTTTATATCAGCATTCTAAACACTTCTCATAATTTCTAGAAACATGCCACTTCACAATAAAACACAAGGCATGCTCTTTAATAGACCCAAACGCTTTTAGCCTCTTTACAATAAGAAGCCAAAAGTAGATAACTTACATACTTTTAACAATAATGTTTCAGTGTTCCATCCAATCCAAAAATGACCCAGATACTCAGATTTTTATCATTTAACTGAACTTGCCAAAACTCAAGATTGTTACCAAAAAGAATTTCAAAGCTGTTTTTTTCCCCAAGTATACAGACCATAAAACAGTTATTGTAGCCACTTTTATCTATTTAAATCATTTGTTTCCAACAAGTATGTTCAGATTACCCATGAAAACCTCATGAGACTTTAGACAAAACTGATCATCATTTAAAGCTATTATTTTGCTGACAAATTTCTAACAGACAACATGAACTTATTTGACTAGTAAACCCAAGCTGCATCCCTGCGTCATATGCAAATACAGACAACTCTGACAACATGACTATTTCAATCAAACAAACAAACTTAAACAAGCTTTCACTTACCAAAGATTAATTCACATCACATTAACTTGAAGGACACTGGTTTAATTTCTCCTACATTTTGAATTTATGTAAGCACTCACTTTAAGCCAATTAAACAGAGCTCTTGATTTCTCAGAAACTGGGTTGTAACCCAAATGACATTGTAGGTTGATCTACCTGTCCAACTGCATCACAAAGGCACAGAGAAACCCCTCAAGTTTTTTCCCGGCTGGAGTTTCTGGGGCATAACCCATCCAATTGCAAGTGTTTCCAATTGGTTAGAATGCACCAAGCGGTTAGTCTCCGGGGATGCTTAGGGCATTCCCCATGGCAGTAAAGCCAGTGTCTGACTGACAGCACCTGGAGAAAGGGCACAGAGGCCCATTGCGGGTGTTGACATAGTTATAAGATTTAGTCAAGTCCCGCTCAGCCTGGGCACTTTGTCTCTGAGCCAGCACAGGTGAGGCAGGGAAGCAGGAGGCAAAGGCCTGGAACTGGCTGGAGGCTGGGGCTCCCAGCGCCAGGGTTGAGAGTTAAGTCCCTGGCAAAAAGCTCATTTTTTCAATTTTACAGAAGGTCAAGGTTCTGCTCAGGTCCAGCCTGAACTTAACCTCGACTTGGTGACAACAAAGGAGGTGATGAACAACACAGACAAAGAAAGGAAAAGAAGAGATCAGACCTCGCCCTCATGGCCTCTTCCAGATGGTTATCAAGATAAGAGTCACACAACAGTTCCCGTGCCTGGGCACACTGCCCTAGCACGACAGTTCACAGAATAAATCACAGGTCTTCTACCCTCATAACCGACTCAGTAGATGACTGAAATACTCAATGAGTCAACCGTCAAAAGAGGTCGGTTTGGGATCGCCACTTGGGGTCGCCAGGTGATCAGGCCCGAAAACCAGAGTTGGGGGTGGCTCCCAGGTGTGGAGCCTTTTACTCTTTAAAGATTTCTTTGTTTCCAAGTTGCAAAGCTCAAAAGGAGACGAAAAGGGCCACTGTAACTGTAAGACAGACGAAAGAAATGGGTCCATTACCTTGAAAATGCCCCCTGAACCTAGGGCAGCGTCTACCCGTCGTTCCTAGTGTGGGGTTCCTATAGCAAGGCGTGATGGGGGCGTCCCCCAGCATTGCATCCCTTGTATACCTTCCCTGTTATGCCTGGCAGTAACAGGTGCCTGGTGAAAAGTCCCCAAGAGAAAAGGAGAACTTTAAGAGAGATGAAAGAAAAGGAGCCATTACCTTGAAAATCCCCAATTGGGGTTCCTGTAGCAAGGGATGATGGGGGCATCCCTTGAACATCTTCCCTATTCTGCCTGGCAGGAATAGGTGCCTGGTGAACGGTCCCTGAGAGAAAGGGAGCCATTACCTTGAAAATCCCCCCAGTGGGGTTCCTGTAGCAAAGGATGATGGGGGCATCCCTTGAACATCTTCCCTATTCTGCCTGGCAGGAATAGGTGCCTGGTGAATGGTCCCAGAGAGAAAAGGAGCCATTATCTTTAAAATCCCCCCATTGGGGTTCCTGTAGCAAAGGATGATGGGGGCATCCCTTGAACATCTTCCCTATTCTGCTTGGCAGTAATAGGTACCTGGTGAATGGTCCCCAGGATAAAGGATAGAGAAAAACAGTAAGCAATTTTCCGCCAGTCTGGGGGACATTCTACCCAATTGCATCCTGGAGCCATTCTCCCAAGAAGGGGTTCCCATACTCAACCAAAGTTTAGAATTTGGTACTTTCCTTGAACTGGAGTCCCGATTGGGACTTTCCTGCAGTTTGGAGTGTGGTCAGGTGCCAGAAGGAGGGATACCAATCCAGACTTAGGAAAAGAAACCTTCCATGGGAGTCTTGGAGAGTGGCGACCATCCTAATGACTTAAGTGGCCGACTCGTGCCCATGTAAAATTTATATATTAGAGATAGAGTCAGGAAGGAATGGATTAATTCATTCTCCATCACCCTGAGGCTTAAGGTACTGATTCTCTTCAAGCTGAATGCCATGATTTGCCCCATAGAGTAGCCATGGGCAGCAAACGTGGATTCATACAGCCGTCCAAGAAAGTTCCCGATGGAGAAGTAAATTTAGATCCATCCACAAAAAAGAGAAAGGCACAAGGAAAAAAGGGCACTTACCAGAACTTGAGCTCACAAGCCTATGAAGCAAGTTCCCCGTACGGGCCACCAGAAATGATGCGGGGTCGGTGAGCCGAGGAGTCAAAAGAAAGATTTCTTGGACTCTCAAGATCTGGCGGTAGTGCTCTTTTATTTAGAGACTAGTGTGGAATAGCATGGGGACAGGACCCATGGGCAGGCAGAGCTGCTGCGTGGGGACAGGACCCACGGGCAGGAGGAGCCGCTGCTGCTGCTGTTTCTGCTGCAAACATGGGTGGAGAGTAAGTCAAGGATTCGCGGAATAAATGCATGGTTTCCTTGTAGGCGGGCCGCTGCTTATTTCCTCTCTGTGTCCACCTTCCACTTTCAGTCTCAGATGTCACTGAAGAAAAAGGTTCCCCATCAGGCCTTCATGGTGTCACCCAACTCCACGGCACCCCCGTCACTGTGCTGTAGAAGACCAAGCATATATAATGAAGTAAATCCCCTCGAAGTCTTGGGGACTGCCAGACTTCTGATTCCTCATTCTGTGTGTGTGCATGATGCCGGAAAAGCGCCCTCAAGAAAGCTTAGGGAAGACTGAAAAGTAGAGGTTGATTAGCCGAGGCGAGAATGTCTGTCTAATAAATAAGACCTACAGCTGCAGCAAAGTAAGCCAAAGTGATAAGGACAGACAAAGAGAGCCTGGGGAAATGCTGTTGTTAAAAAAATAAAACATAAAAATAAAGGATACATTAACAACCAACCAAAAAACCCCCAGCAGACTAAAAAGAAAACTTGCGTCATTTTCTCCCCCAGAATATCATCATTATTAAAAGAGGGTGTTCTGAACAAAAAGAGTGATGTAACTACATGACCAACATTTTTTGATTGCTTTCCTTTATCTTAAAAAGATAAGTGGACTAAAGTGGATAAAGAGCTCCATATTGGGCAACTTGATCACTTTTCTCCTGTACTGAACAGGGCCTGCCAAGAGCAGGAAATCCAACATTTACAAAGCTTTCTTTTCTTACTCTTCGAGAACTGCTCATCGTTCAGGGGGCTGCCTGTTAAAAGATATATAAACGACCAGTTACGAAATATTATCTAGTATACATTTTGTATAACTTTGTAACAGTTAATGATCTAAGCAGAGGACAATGTCTCCACATCTTCCTTTTTATCTTATACTTTATTTAAAAAATCTTCTACCACATAATTTTACATTTCCTCTTTCACATCACTTGCTCTATATCTTACATTCCTTTTGTACCTTTGCCCTCCTACTTGAAAAAAGGCCCCAATCTCCTTCATGTTTTGACCACAAACTCTCCTTTCTCTAATGATGTACATTTTCTGTGCAGCTGCTTTCTGTCTGTCTCTGGACTCTGTCCACTGAGCCTCTTTATTCACTGTGCAATGAGCTGTCATCTGTGTAATTCTAAGTTCTATTTTCCATGTTAGTTGCATCCCCTCATTTATGTTTTTCAGCATAGATTTCCAGCAAGAAGTTCATCTCAATAAAAGTAATAGTTTTAATAATGTTAAAAGATTAAACAAGCATTGAATAAAATTTATGCAACCCTGTAAATCATTTAAAAGTACTCTGTTAATGTAATTTTATTTTTTTCCCCAAAACCCTGTACAAAGCCCACACCTCTCTGAAGTAGAGGATTTGCTCTCTGAGCTCCTTTCCCCCCAGCTGCTCTGGGCTCCAGAGGCATGTTTCTAGTCCCAGCTACTATGCAAAGGGATCTGTTTCTAACATTCCTTAGCTGCTTTAGGAAGAAGAAAAAGCTGCTGCTAAAGCTAGGTTGTGTGCCTTCTCATATTTACAGGTAACAAACAATTCACAGAAAACATGCAGATGAGGGGCCGGCCTGGTGGCGCAGCAGTCAAGTTCACTGGTTCTGCTTCTCGCTGGCCTGGGGTTCTCAGGTTCGGATCCTGCATGTGGACATGGCGGCGCTTGGCAAAAAGCCATGCTGTGGTAGGTGGTCCTTCTATAAAGTAGAGGAAGATGGGCATACATGTCAGCTCAGGGTCAGTCTTTCTCAGCAAAAAGAGGAAGATTGGCAGTAGTTAGCTCAGGGCTAATCTTCCTGAAAAATAAAAAACATGCAGAAGAGCAGAAAAGAGAAATCTGTTCCTAGGGGCTCTCTGATTATTTAGATTAGAACCCAAGAATGTGCTATTTACTGATTTGCGTGTTTGGCCAACAGGGGCAGGGAATTGAGGGAGAAAGTAAAGGAAGTAACTATAAATGTCGGGGGGAGCTGCTACATCCCTCAACGATATTCCCTGTTGAAGTTCCTCTGGCCTAAGGCAAACTTTGCTTTGCTTTTTGCCCCAACTCAGGAGAGGTCTCTCCTTTTAACAACATGCTAATTATAATGGACAATAAATGATAATTTATGGGTGATTGAGTCTCTCGGAATCTTCATTAAAACAACAGCACAATTGCAACCTCTGGAGGAACGCTATTATAATTATTAGATATTTATGTGCCCTTGTCAGTGCGCACAGGGAAGTTTTTCTTTTTTTTTTTTAAGTCCCTTCATTGAACACTTATTTGCTTTTATTACGGAAAAATTTCAAGGTACACAAAAGCAGGAAGAATACTATAGCGAACCCTCTTGTACCCATTACCCAGATTCAACAACTCAACTTTTTTTTTTGCCAATCTTGTTTCACCCATCCTCTCCATTTTTTCCTTTTGGTCGGAAAAACTTTAAAGCAAATACCAAAGATGATAGCATTTACTCGTAAATATTCTAGCAAGCACACTGAAAATTTTATAATAACTTAATTGGTTATGGCAAAATGGACCCGCAGGACAAAACAAAAAAGGAACGCAGAAAACTCTCCGGTGGTGGAAGGGGTCACAAATCTTATCTAGCTGTTCCGGGTCTTGCGCGGGGAGAGCCACAGCGGCGCTGCTCGAGGACGCGCGGAGGACGCAGGATGGAAGAGACCCCAAGGCCAGAGCGGCGCATTCCTTGAGGCGGCCCCCCAGGCATGCGCAATCCAGGCCCCAGAGTTGCTAAGGCCCCAAGGAAGACAGAGGCGCAGGATACGGCGAAAGCCAGTCAGAGGGCTCCAAGACTAACCCGTTAGCCAATCCGGGTTCGAGAGTGAATCACAGCCCCCGCATTCTGGTCGCCTCACCAGTAGCCAATCCGAGAGCCGGGTCATTTGGGCGGACTTTTCAAAACAGCGAAAACAAAACAAATCGGGGACCTTTAAAAGGTGCAATGCGACCAGAAACTGTCTCCTTCCGCTCCTCAACCCTATCGTTCCCATTCCTTCCCCCTTGGATCAATCGCAGAATAAAGCCGACGCCCAGATTCCACCCTCCGCCTTGGAACCGAGAGGGAGGAGTGGCTCTGCGAAGCAAAGACGAGCTGGAAAGGCCACAAAACCGGCGGGGACAGCGGCTTAGAAGGGACTCTTTTTCAAAGTCTCTTGCGACAGCGGCGGATCCCTCCGCGGGGAATCACGTGCCCCGCCCCTTTGGGGGCGTCGAAAACTCAAAACAAAAACAAGGGTTTTGCTCGGGCCTCCGCTGTGGCGGCGACGGCGGCGGCTGGGGCGCCCCGGAGAGGGCCAGAGCTTCAGGGGCCGGCGCTGCGCCCCAGCCGGAGGGTGGGCACGCCGTGAGCAGGATGAAGCCGGGGCTGTGAGGCCGAGGCGGCGGTGGCAGGGGGGAAGGGTCGGATGTCGGTCCGGGGGCACCGCTGAGGCGCGGGGCCCCGACCTCGGAGACAGCTCCGGACGCCCCCGGCTCGCCCAATCCCCTCCGGACGCGACGCCGCGGGCCGGTGGAGGCGCGTCTCCGGCACGGTGAGTGGGCCCAGCCGGGATCGCGGGGGTTTCTTTGTTCGTGGTCGGGATTGGCGCGCGCACGGGGCGGGGGATCAGAATGCCCACCCCTCGTCCCGGCGTGCGACTCGGGTCCAGCTCTCAGCTCAGCCTCGGGAGTGGGCGCCCGGAGACGGAGAGACGCTGGTGGGCTGGATGGAGAGGCGAGGAGGCTGAAGACAATTCTCTGGTGCTCCCCCCGCCCTGCGCTCTTCATGTCACGGCGGCTCGCCAGGGTGGTGCGGTGGGATTGACGGCCCCGGGGCATCAGTAGACGGAGGGGTGCTGTCTGGGCACGGGGCGGGCTGGCCATCTGCCCCCCGACCGGTGGGCCGCGCCACCTCCTCGCTCTCGGACTGGGGTCTCTGCCACTCGGCTATATCCGGAGTAGGCACTGCCGCCGCGGGTGGGAAAGGCTTGGGGGCTGGACTCCAGTGAGAGGGGCTTCTGGAGCCGGGTCCCCGGGAGGGGCGGGGCTCGGGAGTCTCCTCCCTCCGCTTCTTTGTTCGGTCGCGAGACTTTCTCTCCCCTCCCCCCTATTGTGCAAAGCCCCGGCCCGCAAAACCGGCTGCGGCGGCTGCCCCCGGTGCATCCCGCGGGCCGGAGGCCCTCCCCCCCACGGCTTCAGGTGGGGCACACCGTCCGGACACCGCCGCCCGGGGACAGTTTCCTGTTTGTGAAACGGCCGGGAGGCCCGGGCTGGCCGGTCTGACCCGGCGCAGGCCGGCGGATGTGCGCACGGCCCCTCCCCCTGCCACACCTCCCTGGCGGTGGGAGAGGGTTGCGCCGGGGTTCTGGAGGACGTGACGGATCCCCTCGCCCGCTCCTCGCCGGGGAGCGCTGGGGCGCCCTCGCTGGAGGTATTGGCACCAGCTCTTTCTGCCCTCTCCCCCTGCCCTCGCCACCCCCAGGCTACAGTCTTTAACTGTGTGCCGTGTCTTTGCTGCAGATGAAGGATTTGGGGGCAGAGTACTTGGCAGGTCGTGAAGGGGTCCAGCTCTTCGGATTGTTGAGCCTATACCTCGAACAGGAACAGAGATTCCAACCTCGAGAAAAAGGGCTGAGCTTGATCGAGGCTACCCCGGAGGTAAGTTCTCAGGAAAGATAACTTGCTCGAGCAGCTGATAGGGTTTGAATACCTTTTTCTTTTTCTGAGTTGAATCAAGACCAGAGGCTGCGAAGTTTCTTAAGATTCAGTTGGTCTTCTGGAGGATTAAGAGAAATCTCAATCCAGGCCGTGCTTTCGTTTCTTAGCAGGAACGAGAGTGGTACCAACTCTAGAGAAGTATTTCCTCAAATCTGGCACCCCCAGCTAGGTTTTCTG